ATATATTTACACTTTTTTTGAAAATTCACCTGAGATGATTCATGATAATAATCATAAAGCATATAATTAATTATATTTTATAAATTGCATTTGATTAGAAAATATAATTTAATATCTTAACTTTAACTAAATGATGTTAAGCACTTTTCTTTGTTAGGTATTTTTTAAGTTTAAATAGCATCAAGAAGTTAGCATTCGTTTTGAAGTAGCGTGCGTAGCGTAGTTGGTAAAGCGTTAGACTCATAGTACGTAGGTCGTAGGTTCGATTCCCCCCATGCGTTAGATTTATTTATTTCTCAGGTTTGCGTTTAATCATTAATTCTATGTATGAATTAATTGAAAAATGAAAATATCCGTTAATAGTATGCATAAATTACATATTTTTTAATTTTTTAATTAATTAATTTATTATTACTTTTAATTATATCCGACAGTTAATTAATTAGAACGTTAATTAATAAATTCAATTTGAGTAAGAATTTAATTTAAAATTGAATAATTATTAAATAAATATGTTATTTATTCATAACTTAAGCTTATTTATTATTAATTAACTTTTATTATTAATATTATTGATTAAAAAACATTATGGCAAACTTGAGGGCAAGATGAGGGCAAACGTGAGGGCCCATAAGGGCGCCCTCATCGATGAGCATGTCGTTTCCATGAGGGGCCCCTATGGATCATCCATATGTGCCCCTCATGGCATGAGGGCAATCCATAAGGGCCCCCACTGGGGGCCCACATCACTTTTCCACACGGGCAATTTATGTCTCTAAAATTTTTTATAAATATTAAATAAAAAAAAATTATTAGCATTGCAGTTAAAGTTAAAATATTCAAAATATTATTAAAGTTTTTATTTCCTATCGAAAAAAAATTTTATCACATTATTATTAAAGTTGTTCATAATAATAATAATTATTATTATTCATATTATAATATTATATTAATAATATTAATAATTATGAGTTAATTTAATTATATAATAATATAAATTTATTTTTATTTTAAATATATTATACATAAGAATTTTTAAATAATAAAAACTCAATTCTATAATATAATATTTTAAAATAATCATTTCGTTTATTACAAAAAAAGCAAAGCTTTTCGTCCATTGACGATGGATTTTTTTCAAATAAAAAAAAGAACAACTTCTACTAAAAATTATAGATCCAAAGAAAAACTACATCAATCACATAGGTATATTTAATTTATAATTTTTTATTAGTTTATTGATCACAAAACAGTGATTTTAAGAATTAAAATTTATTTGTTAAAATTTTTAAAGATAAATTTTTTTTATTTATTAATTAATGTGAAAAAAATTTAACACATTATCATTTTGTTTCGTAAACAATATTTTACTTTTAAATTTTTTAAATAAGGCGCCATTACCTTTGGTTTTTAGACAATAGCGCTTTCTTTCTCTACTTCATGTTAACGCAGTTGGTATTATATTAGTTGGCCTGTCGTTTCCTATGTTTCTTAACCTAAAACTTGATTTATTTTATTTTATAAATAATAATAAATTGACTTTAAGAATTAAAGTCTTTTTAGTTTAAAAGTGTTTATTTATGAAAAACAATTGTTTTAGTAGGGGAGGATGGGGCAAGGATAGTTAAGGGGCAAGGATAGTTAGTGGCTCTAATACAGAAACGGCTCGTCAAAAAAACGGGTCATTTATCATGTACACTCGTCTTAACACCAAAAGATGACCAAAAGATTGAGCTTGTGGGGACACTATTTGTAGAAGATACGTGCCCATTTGTGTTACATCTCAGTTTTGCTAAAATATTTTCACCTTATTTTTATTATTCAATCTTATTTTTGCGGATATAATTTATTAAATATATTTGGTTGCGTAAATGTTTTCTGGTGTAAAATTTTGTGCTGAAAACGAATATCATATTCGTTTTTTAAAAAAAAATTTTTTTTGTACTAAAAATTTGTGATAATTCGAAAAAAGCGCTCACGGGGCAAAACTAGTTAGTGCCTTGTTGTAATACTTATGACAAGGTAATGTCTGGCTAACACAATTTTTTAATTGCAAACGAAATGCTAATTGCTTTTTATGGATCGCGATGTAATAATTTTTTTGTTTTTCAAAAAATTCACAAAAAACATGTTTTTTTTGATAAAAATGATCATCCTTAACTGCTAAGTTGTATTAAACATGATTCGATTTAATTAGAACAATAATTTTTATTGTTATTTCTTGACAAATATAATTCGATACCTTGAAACAATGGAAAATCAAATTTCATGATTTTTTGTATCATTCTTAGTAAAAACAAATTTTCAACTATCTTTGCCCCACTAGTGGGGCAAGGATAGTTAAAAATTTTTTTTTTACTTTTCCAATATTATCTCGAAGGCATTGCAATCTAAAAGAAAACAATGTATAGCAAAATTGTAGCTAAATAAACAGGCTTTCCAACGATACTATTCTTTTTCCGATGCCAGTTTAAATTTCACGGCTAGATCCAAAAATATCTTACCTAACTATCCTTGCCCCATCCTCCCCTACTATTTTAAATTAAATAATCATTTGTTATTTATCTATAATTCATAGTTAAACATTTACTCAAAATGAAACTGACGTTGTTCATTTTGATATTTTTTCACTGAAAACTCAAAATGAATAAGAGCGTTATCATTTTTGCTGCATATCAAAATGAGTATGATTTCGTACTCATTTTGAGTACAATTTTTTTTCTGTGTAATGAAGAAATATATTTACAGAAAAATGTAATTTTTTTGTATATATAATATATGTAAATATATTTCTTCATTCATCTCCATTCATGAACTAATGATTAAAATAAATCAATTCCACTATTATCCCAAGTAAAAATATCAAGATAGCTTGAATAATACATATTTTTTATAAATTTAGGTTTTATGTAAATTTTTACCAGGATATTACATAATGTTTCAATTATTCAATTTGTTTAAAAAATAAAATTTGTTGATAACTTTTAAACATGTTCTCCCTCATTTAGAAGCGCGAAAAAAATCATGAGTATTGTTTAAGTCATAATAAATCGATGGTTAAATTTTTGAGATGGCATTCTTTTTTGTTTTCGAGATATTAATTAATTAACTAACAAAAGTTAATAAAAAATAAAATAACTTTTTATAATTAATTTTTGATTCTTAGTAATACTTAATAATAATTTTTTGCCATAGAATTAGATGATCTTTCAAATAAAAAAAAATTGACGGTTTATCATATAATCATTCTAATAGTGTTTTTAAAATTACTCTAATTTTATTTGATTGTAAAATATTTCATTTTTTATTAACTTTTGTTAGTTAATTAATTAATATCTCGAAAACAAAAAATAATGCCATCTCAAAAATTTAACCATCGATTTATTATGACTTAAACAATATTCATGATTTTTTTCGCGCTTCTAAATGAGGGAGAACATTTTTAAAAGTTATAAACAAATTTTATTTTTTAAACACTATCACTACAATTTACCGAATTTTGAGAAAAATCCGAAACATGACCCCGTATTTTCATATGAAATGTCTCATATAGCTTTATGCGCGTCAAAAAAAAGAAATTTTCAAAAAATTTGTTAGCCGTTATTTAAAATTTTTTTAAAACGAAGTTTATTTTATCGAAAAGTACATATAGCGATGTACTTGTATATAAATTTCTATTAATAAATATTAATAATTGTGGAAACTCTAGACCTTGCACTAAAACACCTTTTTTGATTGCTGCTTGCGGTGTCTGCGACAAGTCAGACAGAGTTTAACTAAAATTAAAAAACAATGGAGATTTCGTTAGTATAATATATTACCTCGTGCATGAACGAAGAATTTTGAAAAAAAAATTCTAGTAATGGCGATGATTTTTCTTCAAAAATCGTAATTTCAGGGATTTAAAATTTGGTTTTTTGACCAAAAAGAATATTAATTTTGGTTTAAATTTAAATTCCTTCGTTCACGCACTAGCTATTGTATGTATAAAGAACCTCTGAAAATTTCAGTCCGATGGGTTTAGCGGTTTTAAAAAAACGCAGTCACCGTAACTGCAGTTCTTAAAAATCACGATTCCGAGATAATAGCCTTTAAAGTTTTAAGCGTATATACTATTCTTTGAGAAGTAGCGGATTAAAACATCCATAACTTTGGTTCTAATGTTCCGATTTTGATGAAATTTTGGGAAAACATTCTGTAGAGTATGTACTTTTGATATATGCAATGAAAAAAATCGATTTTTTGACACGTGAAAAGGTATATAACCCCTTAAATTCAATAACTTTTAATTTTTTGTTCGGACATTTCAGGAATTTTGCCTGATATTTGTTTTATGGGATGTTTAACTAAAATCAACTAATTTTTTATTTTAATGACTTTAGGTTTGTATTTACGTTTTTATTCATTTCCTCGACACAGAAATGTCTCATTTATTCTCCACATTTTTTATTCCTCTGAATGCGCTCCAAATGGCCTGACATATAGTCAATTTATAGAAATAACCACAACTACATCACTTTTCAAATTTCTTATTCCTTTTGATACGCTTTGGAAATTTTGAAGCTGGCGATTGAAAGGAATAGACATTTAAAATTTACTCTCCAAACATTTAATTTTTTTCTATTCGCTTCCAAAATGTTTGAAAATAAAAAACTTTGCGCCTTAAAAAAAAAGAATTCAATTTTTTGATATTTAGATGTTCACTGGGGAATTGGATAAAAACGTAAATTCGCCTATTCAGAATAATTGAAAATGATCAACTTATGCTTAATAATGCAAAATATTAATCTGTCTCTATTCCTCGCTTCTTACCGGGTTTTCCAGGTAGATTTGTGTTTTCAGCAGACCACTGTGGTCCAATTAGTCGTTTCATTAGTGTTTAAAAATACATTCAGTCAGTATTTTATGCTTTAAAAATGCATGTGATAGTTTTTTATTCTTTTAAGCTTAGTCCATAAGGGTATTTTCTCATTGAAAAGTTTAAGATAAATTTTACTTACGCGATGTCGAAGATTATAGGTGAGGACGAGATTGCGTGCAAACGAATTGGCAAAAGCTTGATAAAAATCTAGAACTTCTAGCAGACGATCTCTTTTTATGGTATGTAAATCACAATAGGTGAGAGCTCTGACATTAGCTGCACTCTGACCCACTGCTGAATCTTTCCAGAAACTATCCCCGAAGACGTCTCCTTTTCCCAGGATGGCCACTACTTCATCGTCTTGTATAACTTCCAGGCTTCCAGTTACAATAAAACAAAGAGAGTCTATTGATTCCCCTGTGTGATATAGTAAATCTCCTGGAGCACTATGTGACATTGTAAAATGCATTGCCAAAGCTCTTAAACATCCATCAGACGCCAAACTAAATAGAAAAATCGTTAAAATCCATGAGGAAGCAAAATTATTATAATTCAATATTATTTTCTACATTTTTTGCAGGGTCAGAGTATTTTTCAGAAAAATGATGATATTATTAATAATAATATATTAACCCTCTATAACATGATGTTGCCTAGAAGCAACATACCGTTCTATATTTTTTTTTTAAAAGTGTACTATTCCTCTACAGATTTCACGCTTTGCATCTCGTTGGCTAAGCACTCTTCTATAAAATTAATACAAAAAGAAACAATTAAATAGCATCACCTGTCTAAAATTTGAACTTTTTATTAGAGTGTCGATATTTTATAAAAAATTCGTGAACAAGGTAAGTTAACAAAATGAGTTGGATTTATTTATACTGCATGGAAAATATGTGAAATCAATTTAAATACATCATTATAACTCAAAAATCTTTCAGTAACTATCAACTATCTATATATTTTCAAACATAATTATATGATTTTTCCTCTGATCTCCATTTCCTATTTTCTGTATTTTGACTTGAAAAAATAAAATTTTCAATTTTTAAAAAACATATGTTTCCTAAATTATTAATTTCTACTAGAAAAAAATGTTACAAAAAATAGGAATGAAAATGTTATAGAGGGTTAATATTACACAGGTCTACAAGGTATTTTTTTGAGATACGAGACCGACCGCGCGCTACAGCGCGCGGATTTTTTGTACTTTCTTTACGATTAATTAATTATTTCCTACATTAATATTAGTTAGGTTTATAGTTTAATCTGAAGTTGTTATTTATTATATTGTAGTTCCTTCATTTTTGATAATTTCAAAATATGTCGATATAATGAAAGTATTGTAAAAATAAAGAAAAGTACAATTGACAATTGCTTGAAAGAAAAATACTTAACTATGAAGTGAACAGTTAAGGATTTGAATTATATATAATAATTGAGTAATAAAAATAAACCCTCATATAAAAGTAAATATTCGCTTGGTTAGTGGAAAAAAAGGACACGTCGAATTTTCTTTGAAAAAGAGGACACGTTGCTTTTTAGTTGAAGAAAAGGACACATCGAAAATAATGTTAAAGTTAATGAAGTAAGTAACGATATGTTCATTGGGTAAATGAACAGGTAATCGGGTAACAGAATGACTTTTATTCTGTATTGGTCTTCCAAAAATTCTGTCACACGCTTCAACGGGACTTACATATCGAGTTTCAATGAAATTTCAAATTTCATCACATTCTATAGAAGTTGCACTATTGGCACTATCTGTTATTTCAATAGCAGCAGCATCATGCCCCTTATAAATATATTTATACAGATATTTTACTGATTTAATGCTAGAAACAACTTCTACATTAATATGGAAATTAAATAATTGTAATAATGTAGGGTTGTATGGGACAACGTACTGATTATCTGCTGTTCCTCTATTTGGACGATTAAAAGTTCCGTTATTGCGACGACGGTACGACGGATATCCATTTTCATCCATTATTGTTTCTGAGCAGAATTTCTTTGGAAAACTTTTTGAACATTTACCATTTTCATCTTTACACCAGCTCCCACATGGACCATGAATCATGTTTCTCATAACAATATCATGAAGTACAGGATTTTCCGATGGATCTGGAATTTCTGCAGAAATATATTTGTCAACAATCTCTGATGTGGTTATTTTATTGTTTTGCTTTAAGTTTACTAATAAATGCATATGAGGCAATCCACGCTTTTGATACTCAACAACATACACATATGCAAGTATTTCACCAAATAATTTCTCCTTTACAATTACATTAATCACTTCATTTTTCTTTATGTTAAAAACTCTAGAAACAATATCTGGTCTGTCAGCTGCAGTTTGATGAGGTAGTAAATTTTCCTGTATCTCACGCCAATTTGGATTACATGTCATCGTAATAAATAGATCTGGTTTCCCAAATTTTCTCACAATAGCCATCGCATCCTGATAATTTTGTAACATATTTCTTGGTGAACCTGTGAATGATGATGGAAGAATTACAATTTTACCTACCTCACTGTTCGACTCATCTGCCCTTCTTTGTAAATGATCAATTAGCCCTTTGTAACTTTCGGCACGGAGAGTTGATTGATTATTTCGACAGAAATTTGTCCTATCTTTTTCAACTTTCACATAATTATCAACAATCCATTGCTGAAATAATCGTCCACATTTTAAAATAACATTGTCATCTCTAGACGCTATTTTAAACTTGATGTATGCAGACCGTGAAACTCGTTTATTAGAGTTAACACAAGTCATATTTTCATCCCAACCTCTCGTACCATATGGATAAAATAATGGATATATCCATGGCTCAACATTAGGGTTCATAGAACTTACATATTGTAAATTTTTATTTCTCTTATTATACAAAGTGACGTATGATTCTGGAATATCACCATCTGCAGTTGTAGTAAAAATTGCAGCAACTTCATTGACTTTTTGTATATTGTATCGTCTACTATCCATCCCAGGTTTCAATGTAAATAATAATTGCATCTCAGGCTCAATGGTTAGGTTATTTTCAGTCATTGATTTTTCCATTTCTTCATGCATCATACGGTAAGATTGTACGAAGATATTACAATCCCGAAGAGCAGTGTCAATTGCATTAATAATATCTCGGTTTAATGTCTGAAATTGATTACATCGAATGTCTGTGGATTCGTTTTGATCCACGATAAATAATTGTCCAAATGAAGGATTGCTGTTATCTTCAGCATATATAGATGTATTCATTTGATAATAAACCTGACCATGTATTTTAAAACAATAAGGTCCAGGACGTGTATTATTAAAATCAACTAAATTTGCATTAAAGGATGCAAATGCAAATGAATTATTATAACATCGAACACGTTCATGAAAATGATTTGATAGTTCATGCGTTCCGTCAAATAAACTCTGCAATATTAATGGTGGCTTAGGTAAATCTTCCAGAATAACTTTACCATGCTTACAACAATCATTAAAAGAATTTTTTTTATTGGGCACTTGCTCTGCTTTAAAATGCTTAGCATTACAATGCTTACATAAAATGTTCATTTCACCAGAATAATGTTCCTCTATAACTGTATCTGTACAATTATTACACAGGTTTTCAATCTGAGAAAAATTCCGTTTCCTTTTTCGATAATTGCGTTGATAATCAGCTTTTTTAAAATGATATGACTGTCTTTCTTGAACAGTGTAATCAACATTTTTATTTCTCATTTCATTTGATGCAATGGACACATAATTCTCAGTGCTTGATGAAGTTGAAGGCAAGCTTTGAGAAAGAATATTTACAAATTGATCTGTACATGGATCGCTGTTTGAATCCAATTCTTTATGTTTAACATCACTCTTTTCATAAAAGCTGTCGACTTTTATTTTTTTTAATGTACTTGATGCAACAGATACAACATTATCAATGCTTAATGATGTTGAAGGCATACTATCGACTTCTATACGAACATTATTATTAGAATTATTTGAAATATTTTTAACATTATCATTTACTTTTTGACGGTATCTTCTTTGAGAATCTGCTTTTCTTTGAAGTTTTAAAAGTTGGTATTGTTCTTCTTCCGAAGGAGAACGTACTGCACGTCTTTTTGGCATGATTAGATTGGAAAATTTAATTTACATTCCATAAAATTTATAACCTATTACAAATTTATAGAAAATGTAAACACTTTGTTTTCAAGCTTATAAAACAAAGAATCTCATGCGTTTTAACTGAAAAGTTTGATATATTTGCAAGATATTTTGTAGCTAATGTAAAGATATAATGTATAAATAATGTAGATATCTATCAATACGATTTAATATATATATTTTTAAATTTTATGATATCTGTGTATTTGTCTGTGTATATCTGTCATATCTGTTTTTATCTTTTTATCTTATGTGAAACTGCTCCATATAATGTATCAATAATGTAAAGATATCTATCAATACGATTAAATGATATTATATACTTTAATTTTATGATATCTGTGTATTTGAATTCTGTGTATTAAATTCTTAAATCTGTCATTTGTTTTTATCTTTTTATCTTATGTGAAACTGCTCCATATAATGTATCAATAATGTAAAGATATCTATCAATACGATTAAATGATATTATATACTTTAATTTTATGATATCTGTGTATTTGAATTCTGTGTATTAAATTCTTAAATCTGTCATATCTGATTTTATCTTTTTATCTTATGTGAAACTGCTCTATTTATTTTTTAAAAATATTTTAACACAACACAACAATTATAAACACTTCAAAAAAAAATTTCAATACTAAAATACATTCTTCACTTTTTTAATAATCAAACAATTCAATTATATTGCAATTTCACATTTTTAATTTCTCACTTTCATTTATTTATCTTAATTAAAATTCTTAAATTTGTTATATCTGTTTACATCACTTTTATTTCATGTGAAACAATTCTATTTTTAGAAAATATTTTAACACAACACAACAATTACAAACACTTCAAAAAAATTTTTCAATAACAAAGCACATTCTTCTCTAGCAATTTCACATTTTTAATTAATCACTTTTAAAAACAATAAAATTTTAACCTTTTTTACTATTCCTTTTCACAGGAACAGAAATGTAGAAATATTATGTTCTGTCGATTTTTTACACAATTTAAACAAAACACTATTGGTAAATGCACTTTTTCACTATTTATTGCTTTTTTACACACAAAAATAATAATCACATTTATCACTATTTCACTAATTTTTTCAAAGAAACAAATTATTATAAGTACTATATATCAATTTTCACTATTTGTTTCTTTATTGACACAGAACTGTATAAATATTACTTTTTCGCGTTTTCCAAATATGAATTATCAAAATGGCGTAAAATCACGAACAGTAAATGTTGATAGCGACGCGTCGACGTTCATTCTGTCTTTGTCTCTCGAATTGTTTGTCCTTGTTTCCCCCTAAAGACCGACGCGTCGCTATCAACGCGTCGAATCGTATTC